CAGAAGATTAAAGCCCTGGTCCTTGTGACCAGGGTGGATAAAAATCAATGATTTTTTTAAAAAAATCAAAAAAATCAGATTTTTTTGATTTAAATCGGATTTTTTTGATTTTTATCGAATTTATTTTAATAAAAAACTTTTGGGGTAAAAATCTATCGTAAGATAGTTTTCTATTTAAGATACATAAATAATTTAGTTTATTCAGCATGAAATGGAGTTTAGTTATGTAGCATGAGGCTGTATATTCTGCAACACTGGGACTATCGGTGAGTCAACAGCGGGTCAAAGGAGTAGCAGAGATGACAGTTGCTCTTTAAAAATTATGATTTAAATTGAGTTGATTTAAATCAAGTCTTTTTACTAGTGATTTAAATCATGATTTAAATTGTGATTTAAATCAACTCGATTTAAATCAAATCCACCCTGCTTGTGACCCATCCAGATTGGACCCTGCAGCATTATTCTGGGATACATATTCATTCATTCATAATTTATTTTGCCCCAAACAATATGTGCTGGCATCTGTCCTCTTTGCAATAGGGTTTGCTTTAACATTTGCAAATCATATACTTTCTTTTCTCAACTTCTTTTGAAACTTGGGAGTTCCTTACAGAGGCAGAGACCTGGAGTTTTCTAGCAATTTGTGGCTTATTGTTTTTGTCACTCTCTGGTTATTGCAGTCTGGTTGAGTCTGCTGAGACATGGAATAACTGGAAGGCCCCAAGTTCCCTATTTTTTTAAAAAAGTACATCCATTAAACCAGAATGTATTTCCAAAACAGATGTTCCATTTACAGCCCAGTTCATTATTGAAATAAAGTATATCCTTTAAGATGCTTTGAGTATTTTAAAGTGGCCCTATAAATTATTACTACTACTTTTCAAATGCTTTGAATATTTTAAATATGCCGTATGCATTGCTTATTAATGTTGTCAGGTAGAATTTGGGATGCCAGTCATAAGCTTTTTCCTGGTAGCCTCACTGTTGATGTCTGGTATCTCAAATTCTTCTATTGAAAAAGCACTCTTGACTTTCAAGATCAGCAAATGCTCCTTAAATCTGATCCCCCTGATAAGTGGCATTTTTTAAAAAAATCTGTCAAATGGGTCCCTGGCATTTTTGTTGGTTTAACATACATCTACATGGCATATGTCAACATTTCATTTGTAAATGCCTGCTGACTCCTTTCCTGTAAGAAAGGAAAACTCCACAAAAGAGAGAACACCCCGGGAAGAGCAAAGAAACTGAAGGGTCATGAGAAATGAAGTTGTTGAAAGTAGCATATGGTGTTACATGGATTAATGTGGGACCTGGAGTCTGGGGCTTGGCCAAAGGGTGGAATGAGGGTAAATAGGTTTTGAGGAGGATTTTGTAGGTAGAGAATGCTTTAATAATACCCAATGCTATAGTGTGGTGGAAAGATTAGCTGTTTGTTCACAAGAACATGATTGTTAGCAAACTAATAAAAGCACGGACAAAATTTAGCACTGAACTTGTCACTAGAGAGCTGACAGCCCGAGTTTGAGGTTTGAGCTCTGTGCAACAGGGTGACCTGAGCTCCCATTACTTGCCCTAGCTCCTGTCCACCTAGCAGTTCGAAAGCAGGAAAACACAAGTAGATAAATAGGTACCACTTTGGTGGGAAGGTAACAGCATTCTTTGCACCTCAGCATATAGTCATGCTGGCTACATGACCATGGAAGGTTGGCTTCCATGCTGGCTGCCTCAGGTTAGAAACAGAGAGAAACACTGTGCCGTAAACTGACAGGGAAATCTTTACTTAGTGGATCCTTTAAGTGTTCAAAGGGATTGCTAAATCCAGATTACTTTAGCAATCCTTTCCATAACAGTCATAGAGGGCAAAGCAAACCACCACCACCACCACCATCATCATTATTATTGTTGTTGTTGTTATTTACTGATTGCAAATCAAAAGGATGGAATGCATGGAGGCCACTATAGAGTCAGTCTTTGGAACGTGTTGAATTAGGACTTCTGAGTATTTTGGTACTAGCATCTTGTTTGTGTATAGTAGGAGCCTCCTTGGTCCACATCAACACAGAAAGTTGAGCTGCTCTTGTTCTGGCTGAGAAAAACTTCATTGGTCTGAGTTACAAAATAGAATAGGAGCAAAGCTGCAGCAATCCAGCAATTACTATACTATTCCAGCGGTTGTATGCAATGCTATACCACGTCATAAATTACAGTGACTTTATATTTCTACCTTTCTCTGTCTTATTTTGCCTTCAGTATTGTTTGTATTAACATCTGAGACAATGGCAGGCTTTCCATTCAAGGCAACGATGGTGAATGTGGCTGTAAATGGGTGTGATTATAGCCACCCCACAAACATAACCATATCAGTTGCAACCAGGGGTGAAATCCATTTACCTTCTCTACCAGTTTGCAAATGGTAACACCTCGCACGTGACACCTCTGCGCATGCGCAGGACCTTCTGCGCATGCACAGAGTGTCAAAAATGGGACGTGATGACGTCCGGGTGGGTGGGCGGAGCTTCCCGCCGCTGGCGCTACGGGTTCACCCGAGCCAGATAGAACTGGCTGCATTTCACCACTGGTTGCAATTCACTGCTTTATTATGGGGTAGGAGTCAGTCTGTTTTCACCCAAGAGCCAATCTGACTCTGAGTAAATGGTCAGGGAGGGGTGCGGAGGTACCTGCAACAGATGGGACAAAATAATCAAATAGGCAGGGCTGTCTCATTGGAGGCATATCACACATAAGCACTGATCTTCTTGAGTGCAACATATTCATTGGAAACCAGCAAAGGAAAAGCTAGTACAAGTAGCCCTTGACTTATGACCACAATTGAGCCCAAAATTTATGTTGCTAAGCAAGACGGTAAGTTAACTTTGCCCCATTTTATGGCCTTTCTTGCCACAGTTGTTAAGTGAATCACTGCAGTTGTTAAATTACTAACATGGTTGTTCAGTGAATCTGGCTTCCCCATTGCCTTTGCTTATCAAAAGATCGCAAAAGGGGATCACATGATCCCAGGATATTACAACCATCATAAATATGAGTCAGTTGCCAAGCATCTGAATTTTGTTCACATGACCATGGGGATACTACAACGGTTGTGAGCGTGAAAAATGGGCATACATCACTTTTTTCAGTGCCGTTGTAAACTTCAAATGGTCATGAATTGTTGTAACTCAAGGACTACCTGTAGTAAGTATATCCCAGAAGAAGGGCCTCCAGTGCTTTCTATACTATAGAAGATGGAATGTTTTTTGACAATAATCTTTAGTATGAAGGGAGGCGTGTTTTAAATATACAAAAGTACCTTTTTAAATCTAGGAATGAAACTTTAAGAAATGGCTGCATTCATTCTACATACATTTAACCTTGTTGCTGACTTAACTAGTTTTCTGCATTCATACAATATACCAAGCAATGAAATAAGCTGGGTTCCAAAAATTCCCACAACAAATGAAGCAAAGTTAACTCTTAAGTAAGCTTAATATGTTGTGGAAAAGCACTTGCTAGGGCCTGGCATGTGCTGGTTAAACATAGATATTTCAGATTTCAACATTTTAATAGACCACTTTCACTACTTGTTGGTCTTCAAATGAGAAATTGTAATCCCATAACTCCTCCCAGAATATTATAACCTAATCAAAACCTAAATCCTTCATGCATCCAGTAGCCTGTAAAATTTGACATTAGGAATTGTGGCACAAATCACATTGGGGATGTACAGTAGTGGCCAAAATTGTGGAAACCCTTTGGGGAAAGTATATTTTCGAAGTTTGATGGCTAATAACACCACTTGTTTTTGGAGTTTCAAGATCATCATATTCCACTGCTGGAATGGCCTGGAAATAGCCCAGACCTTAACCCAATTGAAAATCTATGGAGCCGACTAAAGAAACTTGTTAGTCAGAAGCGACCCAGCAATAAAACCCAGTTAATCAAAGCAATCATTCAATCTTGGTTTCACATTATAACAGCTGCAGAATTAAAAGACTTGGTTTACTCCATGGGAAGACATTGTAAGGCCGTAATTCATGCTAAAGGTTACTCAACTAAGTATTAACTGACATGGTGATAATTTTTGGCATATCTCATTTTTTCTACGTGTTTCACTTCTTTATACTGTAACTGCTATTCTAATAGCAAATCCTTCATAAAAGTCATTGCATTACATTCTTGATTAAATTATCTTTCCATTGATATATAATTTTATGGTACCACTCCAATAAAAAGTGGTGTTATTAGCTAGTTTTAAAAAATATACTTTTCCCAAAAGGTTTCCACAATTTTGGCCACTACTGGTGGTACACACTTATAGGTGATTGTTCTAAGACCCTTGGTTCTTATGGTTAGTAATACAGGTTTGAGACTAATTTCAATGTGTAAAATATCTCGGTAGCTGAGATCTTCACTCCAGCTGTGTTACTTGATAGTGTAATGGCATGTGGGAATGACTTTGAGTGATAGGAGAGAGGCACAAATTGGACAACCAGGTGTGAAAAAAAGAGAATGAGGGATGGTATGGGAAACCTTTCAGAAGGGATTCTCCATAGTTTTCCAGAGAGTAAAAGGAAAAAAGGGAAGAAATACCTTTAGTCTTGCAATATTCTGCTAACATTATATTCTGGGCTAACAGGTAAGAGAGCCCAAAAAGCCAGTATGAATTCTAATCTCCAGTCCCCAAAATAGCAATAGCTATTACTGCTTCACAGTGGTTTTTTTACAGTCCTCTCTAAAAGGTTTGCAGAGTCGTCATATTGCCTCCAACGATATGGCTCCTCATTTTGCTGACCTCAGAAGGATGGAAGGCTAAGTCAACTTTGAGCCGGTCAGGATCGAACTTCTGGCAGTCAACAGAATTAACTTGCAATACTGCATTCTAACCACTGCGCCACCACGGCTCTTAACATATAAATAATTTGTGGTTATGTATATACATACATACATACATACATACATACATACATACATACATACATATATATTTCTTGCATTTGTCTTAGGGCTCTGCTGATTCCTACACTAGCCGCCCATCGTTGGATTCCGACGTGTCGCTAGAAGAGGAACGTGAAGGGGTGAAGCGCGAAGTGGAGAACCAGACCCAGCAGCAGCTTGAAAAAGCCAAGGTAATGGATGGGGCGGGCAAAATCTTGGTTTTTCTCAGGGTAAATAGAGGGTTACATCAGGTGAGAATGATTGCCCCTGTAACAGTCCAGGTTAGTATAATGCAGTCTAGTTTTTTTTAATTGTTCAGTTGCTCTGCTCCAATTATGGAATTCCCCAGCTGGTTAGAACACTTGTCATCTTTCTCTGTTTTCCCACTCTTTCTGCCTTATTTTTCCTTTAAGCCATAGAGGATCAGCTAAACAGCTAAACAGAGGAAGTTGTAACAGCTACACAGAGGAATGTTATTGGCAATGTGAGAAGCTGCTGTTTGGAAGCATAGATTAATTCCTGGTAGCCCTAATGAATCTGAATTACAATTTGATTAAAAGAAAAATATCATAAGCAGTAGAGCTGTGGGATCATGTGACAACTATGAAGACAAGCTGCAGGATTGCAGAAAAAAGTATTTTTAAAGAGTATGCAGGTGCTATATTTATACTCATTTTTGGAATAAAATCTGAATTACTGCAGAGAGCTGACGAGGAGAGGGGGGAAAAGCAACTACTAATACTGATCTCTTTAAAGTTACTTATATAGCCAAAAAAATGCACCATCCTTGTCCAAAAGTTGGTATCATCAGGTTTGAGAGAACTCTTTAAGATTGTCAAAAGTACAAACTGTCTTGTGGAGAGGCGGTATTATGACTATAACTAAGGTGTCAGATTGCAGATTATAGACTCATAGTCCACATCCCTGTGAGTGAGAGACGGTTCCTTGTCTCTCATACACAACCCAGCCCTTCCTTTTGCTAAGTAGTGTATAGAAGGTGGTTTGATCTTTTTAAAACATGGGAGAAAATGTCAAGGGAAAGAGGCTGCCTGGGTAAGACATAAGGTTTCCATCTCCTGAAATTTGTAATGAATATTTGGAAACACAGATCCATTTGCTTCAGTTGTATAGAAATAGAAAAAGGAATAGCCAAATAATAGCTTTTTATTATTATTATTATTATTTCCATTTCTCTTTAGTATGTTGTGCTAAGTCTTATTTTCTTTAATTTGGTGCACCAATTGTGGAATTTCAGCTTCTTTCATATTTCAAACTATGTACATGAACATATTTTTTTCTTTAGAATATTCTTGTGGTTTGTAGTAATAACTATAAATCTTATCATGGGGGGCTGTTACATGCTTTTTAGATAGAGGGTTCTTCATATGTGGTAGGCCAGTGTCAACCTACATCGAATGTTTCCATTTTCATTTGAATGCTTCTTTAACTACTTTGCAAGTATTACTGGGATCTGGACAGTTCTGTATTTATGTTCCCTTATATGGAAGGTTTACATTTTGGTACTTAAAAGTTTTTTTTTTTTTAAATCTTGAAATAAAGTTTCATTTTGTTTATCTCCAGTGAGATTTGTCCACCTTTCAGGACACAGTTGAAGGGAGGGGAAAAGAAGGGCTGAATTCTCTAGTCATCGTGCCTATATGCCAGGAGGTGGCACTATGGAAATTATTTCCACATTTGCTTTTTTAAGTATTAGAAAGGCATCAGAGAATGTGAAAACTCCATTTCTAATGCCTGCTGGGTTTAGGGATTGTTAATACTAGGTGAAGTGCCCTCTGCGACAGCTGAGATACTGAGCTACTATGACAAAACTGGAGGTGGGAGCAAGGTGAGAAGAATTTTGGAACCTCAAGCTTTCTTCCCTGCAGGCAGGGCCGGATTTTCCTATAGGCTAACTAGGCTTCAGCCTAGGGCCTCAAGATCAAGAGGGGCCTACATTCAAATTGTTAGCAAAATTAAAATTACACTTTCACTATAGGTGAAAGGGCCTCATACGTGGAATAGCCTAGGGCCTCTTTTCATCTAAATCCGACCCTGCCTGCAGGCCTCAGCATTTACTAGAAGGGAGAAATACTAAAAAGGAAAAGCTTTCCTTTTTCTGTTCAGGTTTCCATCGATCCATTCCATCTCCTCTCCCCATTTTTACTTTTTCCCCATCAATATTCAGCCAGCATTCCATATGCCCTGCCTGGTTTGTTTGCTTGTTTGCAATGGAAAGGATTGGCATAAAGCAATTTAAAGCATGGTCTGGGAACAGAAAGTGGATAATGGAGCTTTGGAATGGCCGGAGCATGCTCCTCCAGGAGACAGAGAGATGGACAACCCGGAAACTATCCTACCACACTTTAGGGGTATATTAGAAAAAATATAATCTATGTACCCATCTCATTAAAGAAAGGCAGTGGAAACTGAAGAACAACAAGAAGAAATCCTATGCTTAGGCCCCGTGACATAAAAGTGAGGGCCCAGTTGTGGGGGCAATAAGCTGACTTTGTATAAATATACAAAAGGATGAAGGCTATTGCTTAACGCATTGTAAGCCGCCTTGAGTCTCCGGAGAAGGGCGGCATATAAATCAAATTAAAAAAAAAAAAAAAGTGAATCCTGCTTTAGATGTAGGTAATCTCCAAGCAGTGTTGTGTCAAAAGGATCAACAAAGGCTGAGTGGTGTCTTCCTTTGAAGGCATGGTCCAGCTTTCTTGTTCGTGAATCCCTATAACTCAGGGGTGTCAAACTCAAGGCCCGGGGGCTGGATCCTAAGCCCGTGGGGTGCTTAGGTCTGTCCCTCGTGGCTGCCCTGGAAACAGCGAAAGACCAGCCCGCGGTGCCTCTGCTAGTGAAAATGAAGCTCTGTTTTCACTGGCAGAGGGTTGCAGGAGCCAGTCACAGCCAAAAACGGAGTTCGAGTGGGCCGCGGGCAGCCCTCCCGAGGTCCTTTTTTGCCGGCAGAGGATGGCAGGAGGTCATTGCAGCTGAAAACAGAGTTTGCAAGGGCTGCCCACGGCCCTCTCGGCTCCATGTTGCTGGCAAAGGGTTGCAGGAGGCCGTCGCAGCCTAAAATGGAGCTCGGGAGCCCGTTTTTACTGGCAGAGCACTCGGGCCGCTACAGGCACCCCTGACATTACTGATATCGAGCTGGCCACGCCCACCCCAGCCCCCCTGAGGCCAAACACAACCCTGATGCGGCCCTCAATGAAATTGAGTTTGACACTCCTGCTATAACTGTTCTTGGGTGTCCCTTGAGCCAATCAAGGTGACAGAAATAGGAGAAAGAGGAGGAGAGACATTTTATTTAAGGTGTTATTTTAGATTGGGACTGACCTGGCACCGATAATTCCTCTTTGATTTCTTTTGCTCCTCAGAACAAACCAGTTGCATTTGCTGTCCGTACTAATGTCAGCTACTGTGGCGCATTGGATGAAGAATGTCCTGTGCAGGGATCTGCCATCAACTTTGAAGCCAAAGACTTCTTGCATATTAAAGAGGTGGGGCATTAGATGAGCAGAAGCGACCTGCATTTGGATTTGTGAGGGAAGACATTGCATTGCTGCTGCTCGGGGTTGAGGTGGAAAGGGGATGGTTTACAGGTAGTCCTCGACTTATGACCACAATTCAGAGCAGAATTTCTGTTCTAAGCAAGGCAGTTGTTAAATGAGTCACACACCTGATTTTACAACTGTTTTTGCCATAGTTGTTAAACGAATCACTGCAGTCGTTCAGCGAGTCTGGCTTCCCCCGTTGACTTTGCTTATCAGAAGTCAGCTGGGAAGGTTGGAAATAGTGAACACATAATTCTGGGATGCTGCAACAGTTGTAAATACATGCTGGTGCCAAGCACCTGTGTTTTGATCTTGTGACTATGGGGATGCTGCAACAGGCATAAGTGCGAGGACTAGTTGCGAATCACTTTTTTCAAGGCCATTGTAACTTTGAATGGTCACTAAATGAATTGTAAGTTGAGGACTATCTGTACAGTGGTGAAGGTAAAAGGACTCTTAAGTTGAACTTGGTGAACATATCAACAAATTTTATGCAAGAAGCTAAACAGTAAAATTGATTTCCTTCCCCCAAGAATTCTATTTAAAAGTTCATCACAAATGAAGGCAAATATACGTGTCTCAGGATAATGTTTCAGGATCCAATCTGGGTTGGTCACTGGGACAGGAAGTTTAGTTTTCCTAGCTTTCGGATTCGTGTTTCTGAATCTCGGCAGCTTTAAGAAAAGTCGCTTCTCAAAAAATGTTCTCAAACTTCCCATATAGAAATGGAGTTTAGTTTTTCAAAATGAAATGGGCATTTGGATGGGAGACTACCAGAAAATCCCAAGGCTCCAAGCAAAAGTGTCCGCAGGATCTCAAACTTTCACCAGAAGGACGAAAGCTGCATCATGCTGTTGTGATGCAAGCACAACCCATTTCACACGGGGGATGCGATGTATCAATACATGTATATAAGAGGTGGAGTTTATGTTGTGACATTGCAAACTGCTTTCCTCATTTTCCTCCACATGCCAATTTTCCCTGTGGATGTCTATGAGTACAGGTTAGGTAGGGAGAATATACAACCCAGAAATAGACAAAGTTGAAGTACTTGTATATTATTGCCAAGAAAACAATGTAGCTGTATTGATGGAGATTCCAGGAGTTGACTCACTTTATTTTTGAATAGCCTAGAACTTTTGTTTCTCAACCTTGGCAGCCTTTGAGATGTGTGGCCTTCAACTCCTAGAATTTTCCAGCCAGAAACCTGGGGGTGGATTCCATAAGCAAGTTACCAAGGTTGAGAAACACTGGCCTAGAAGATATGGATTGGGTTGCAATATGTAACACATTAACTGATTTCAGAATCTTAATTAAAGTGCAGGTAATCCTTGATTTACAACGGTTGGAGTGATGATGGCCTCACAAAGGGTATTTTATAGCCTGTAAGGCATTTCTGGCTGTCATAAAATGTCACATACACACACACACAGAGCTGTATTTTGGGTGCTTGGCAATTGTTTTATATTTATGACTTGTTGCAGTACCCCACAGTCACGTAACTGCAATTTGCAATATTTTTTTTTTGTCAGTTTCTGGAAATTCTGTTCCCAATTGCAGTTTTAAATCAAGGATTACCTATATCATAAATGTGAACCTATTTATTTCTGAAATTTATGTGCTGCTCAGTTTTAAAAAGGCTTCCATTTGATTGCAATAATAATAGGAAAATAATAAAAGAAGATATAATAATAACCCCACTCCAATAACAGCAATACACCTTCCATTCCATTATCATACCAGGAAGATCAGTTCTTACTATGACCCTTGCAAAGGTTTTTTGGAAGAGACAAGTCATAGTGACTTTTCTTGATCTCCAACAGGATTGGGGCTAACTGCTTCAAAGATATTATTTTGTTAAACAATTATCTGTTTAACTGGATATTTAACCCAAACCCAATACAGGTTGAGAAAGAGAAAGAGAAAAAAGTAGCTATTCAGGAAAGGGAATTGGGGGAAAGAGAAAAAATAAAAATCAGGCTTTTGAGAGCCCTAAAAATGTAGACAAGGTATAGTTTAATTTAGGCCTAGCATCTCATTCTTTGGTTGCTATATCCAGAAGATCAACTGTTTAATTTTAAATAATTTTTATTCCAGGGATGTAGCTTTCCAGTATTGGAGGAACAGATGTTTTGCTATAATGGCTACCCACCAAATGCTATGTTTAATGTATTAGTACTCATACTAAAAATATATAATTAGAAAAAAAAGCACCTTCGAAATTCTGCTCTCATCCAAATAGCTTAAGAAGACGAGAGAAAGAGAGAGAGAGAGAGAGAGAGAGAGAGAGAGAGAGAGAGAGAGATGCGGGCAGACAGACCCTATATCCTTTCTTTTTTGCTTTAACAGAAAAGTTGAGTTCACTATTTGGCTTGCACATGACTTTCTTAGCCAAGCCAAGGGTTCACACATCGCACTAAACCTTAAATTATGCTCTGCAAACCACAAAGGCCCAAACAAAATAAATCCCGTTATGATTATGTGTGATGCATGACTTTAGCCCAGTGTTTCCCAACCTTGGCAATTTTTTTTTAATTAAACAAATTTATATAGCAGCCCAACTCACATATAGATGGCTCTGACTGGCTTACATTTAATTTTTAAAACATCCATTATATAATAAAATCATTAAAAAAAACACACACAGCCCACTCCCCATGGCAACCACAATACAATCAGATTAACCACTTGCTCAGCTGTCCCAAAGGTGCTTTTTTCAGGAGGCAACTGGACTTTCTTATGTTTTCTTTTGAAGACGTTTCCCTTCTCATCCAAGAGACTTCTTCAGCTCTGACAGGATAGTGGGGAATGGAAGGATTCATATTCCTTGCAGACAGCTGGTCATCTGCATCCTTTTAGAGGGTCATTGATTACAAGAACCAGGAGCAGTACTTAGGTGACCCTGAAGACACAGATAAACCTCCAAATGCTTCAATTACCAGCTGTCTGCAAGGAATATAAATCTTTCCATTCTCCACTATCCTGTCAGAGCTGAAGAAGCTTCTTGGATGAAAAGCGAAATGTCTTCAAAAGAAAAAAAAGAAAGATCAGTTGCCTCCTGAAAAAGCACCTTTGGGACAACCATGACCTGGATGACTGAGAATCTCTACAGAGATTTGATCAATTCCATTTCCATTTGTAGTCATTAGGCCTGCTGACAAAGCCATGTCATTAGGGCCTTTCAGTAAAACAGCAGGGATGGGAGCCAACTGCATTTGAGGGACAATGAAGTTCCATAAAGAAGGGGCCACCACCAAGAATACCCTTTTTTGTGGTCCCACCAGATCATCATCTCTAATTGATGCGACCCACAACCTGCCCTGCCTTCCTGCCCTGATGGGAAGAGGTAGGGGGGAGAGGTGTTGCTTCAAATAACCTGTCCTCAAGCCAGGTTATAGTCTATAGGAGCTGTGGTGGTGCAACGGTTAGAATGCAGCATTGCAGGCCAACTCAGCCCACAGCCACTAGTTCAATCCTGACCTGCTGAAGGTTGACTCCGCTTTCCATCCTTCCAAGGTCGGTAAAATGAGGACCTCAATTGTTGGGGACAATATGCTGACTCCATAAACCACCCAGAGAGTGCTATGAAGCACAATGGGGAGTATATAAGTCTAGGTGCTATTGCTATTTAAAGGTGATAACCAGCACCTTTAATTATACCTAAAATTTTACATACAATGCCGGGGTGGGGGGAGCTTCAATCCCTAGAATGCTCCACAACGGTTGTGTTGTTAAGTCCAAACATTTAGAAATTGTCAAGGTTAAAAACATTAGTCTAGTTTATATGCGTAAAGGTGACATGGAAATTAAGCTGGAAATCAAGCTTATGGCTTTTCCTGTGATATTCCCTTCAGAAATACAGCAATGACTGGTGGATCGGCCGGCTAGTGAAGGAAGGGGGAGACATCGCCTTCATCCCCAGCCCACAGAGGCTGGAGGCCATACGGCTGAAACAGGAGCAGAAAGCCAGGTGAGATGGGACAAGCATATATAGAGCGTTTAATTCCGGCAACAGAAGGAGATATAAAAAGTGTCTCTGTATAGAAGTCTATGTGTGTCTAAATATTTAGATTACTTTGATGCTTCTTTTAAGGGTAACATCAATGGAAAATAATTTGGAAGGTCAACAGTCATGTCAATATTTATTAATAAAATTGAACCTTGGGAGGGAATGTGTCATATGCACTAGATCGGGGGTGTCAAACTCGTGGCCTGCGGGCCAGATGCGTCACATGCTGGCCAGGGGTGAAATTCACTTACCTTCCCTACTGGTTCACAAATCTGCGCTCTGCATGCGCATAGGCTTAAAATTGTCGCAAAAAAGCGACGTCATGATGTCTACACAGGTGGGTGGAGCCTCCCGCAGCCACCGCTATCGGTTCTCCCAAGCCGGATAGAACTGGCTGAATTTCACCCCTGCTGCTGGCTCCGCCCCGACCCGGTTTAGCAAAGGGGAAATAAGTCCCGATCCATCCCGTGACGCCACCCCACCATGGTCACGTGAGTTTGACACCCCTGCAGTAGATGGATTCTGAATCTGTAAACACACAACGCCACTTTTTAAATCGTAGGGTCTTACCATGTCTTTGCTTTCCTCTCCTACCACTAGGCAATCTGGGAATCCTGCTGCCAGCAACAGGCGATCGCCTCCCCCATCATTAGGTAAAGGCATAAATAGAACTAACTTCTACATATTTCTGCTGATTTTTTTTTTTTAATTTTTCATTTTTTTTAACTTGAGAAAAAGTGTGTGTCGAATCACACTGCATATCATTATTCTGAAAAATCCCAACCGGTTAGAGTTGGAACTGACCCACCTTGCATGTTTCATCTGTTCACTGGAAATAGGGAGGGGGTGATGAAAAAAGGGGGAACAGCTATTAAAGGAAGGAGGGTTCACCAGGTGTGAGATGAATGTTGTCTGGATTCTCAGAAAGAAATGTGTGGTGTGAAGTTGGTAACACCTTTTAGGAGTAAGGCAGATGCTAAACAAAATCTTCAGTAGCTAAGAGCCTTTTCCCATAATTAGCAAAATAAAAAAAATGGTAGCAGCTAATTTAAATAGTGCAGAAAATGGGATATCGTAGTCATTAGATTTTGCTTACCTTGGCTTGTCTCAGATATATAACATTTTCAGTGAAGTTCTAAGTGCAAACAATGACTTCCAATTTTGTAAATTAAATACAGGTAATCCTCGATTTACAATAGTTCATTTAGTGACCGTTCAAAGTTACAACAGCATTGAAAAAAGAGACTTACGACAATTTTTCACACTTATGACCATTGTAGCATTTCTATGGTCACATGATCGAAGTTCAGATGCTTGGCAACTGACTCATATTTATGGCAGTTGCGGGGTCACCTTTTGCAAGCTTCTGACAAGCAATGGGGATGTCAGATTCACTTAACAACCACGTTACTAATTTAAAAAACTGCAGTGATTCACTTAACAACCGTGGCAAGAAAAGTCGTAAAATGGGGCAAAACTCACTTAACAAATGTCTCACTTAACAACAGAAATTTGGGGCTCAATTGTGGTTATAAGTCAAGGACTACCTGTATGTGTGTGTACATGTCCTGCTGCATTTGGGAAATATAATGTCAAGTATTTTCTGGGAGAAGCCTCCTTGTCTTGTTGCAATCCCAGGAGATCAAATCTCCACCCCTGCAGAACGCCAGTCCTTCACATAGTTTTTCTCTTGCTAGTTCATGACTATCTTTTTTTTTCTCTTCCAACAAGCCAAGCAGAAGCAAAAGCAGGTAAGGCCTTAACACTGGGGTTAGATGCTACTCCCTTTCTCTTCCAGACAGTTCCCAAGAAAAAAGCAGGATGAATTCTGAGGCTGTCTTGTCTAACTTCATATTTGAGCAGGACAAATCTGGATGCTAGGACAAATCTGAGAGCCGAGCTTCCTGGAGCCAAAATAACTGTTCAGGAATGGTGCAGTTTCCTCTATCACAGGACTTTCAAAAGGCAGAGTGGGGCTGGAGTCTATTTGTCTTACAGAAAACCTGAAGCCTCCCCAAATTGGGGTGTGATATTGTAGCAAAAGCAAAACAAAATGGATCCCGGGGGAGGTGGGGGGGGTGATCCTGATGTTTGGGTCATATGTGTAAAGTATTTGGTGAAATGTGAGGCTTGGAGAAACCCCTCTCTGCCTTTACCACTTCCCTTTTTTCTCCTTACGATTAGCAACAGACTTTTAGCTGCGGGATAGGGGAGAAGCCACTTCCTGTGACACACTGTCCTTTTTATAGACAGAGCACATCCCTCCATATGATGTGGTTCCTTCCATGCGGCCAGTGGTGCTGGTGGGACCTTCACTGAAAGGATACGAGGTATGGGGATGGGCAAGGGGATGAAATTCGCCCCTATATTCTCTCCTAAACCCACACCAGATATGCTAGTGCTGACTGTGGCTGTCAGCTAACTAGTGTTTTTGCTCACCTCTCAACTCACCTGTCCTTCTCTTTCCTCCAGGTGACGGACATGATGCAGAAAGCTCTTTTTGATTTCTTGAAGCACAGATTTGATGGCAGGTGAGGCATTAAAACAACACACACCTTTCTCTTCCTCCTTTCCAACCTCCCAACTATGTCGGCTGGCGACACCCAGGGGGAGAGCCTTCTTTGTGGGGGCTCCTGCCCTTTGGAACGAACTGCCCCCGGAAATACGCACAATCTCTGACCTCCGAGTTCTTCGCTGTGCCCTCAAGACCCTGCTCTTCCGACAGGCAGGGCTATCTTTGTAAAGGAGTTTTAAATTCGGAGTTTTAAAATTTTGGGTTTTTAACGAATTTTGGCCGTAAATGTAATAATTTTAATAATTTTTAAATTTAATTGGGATTTGTATTGTGTTTTTTACTTGGCTGTGCGCCGCCCTGAGTCCTTCGGGAGAGGACTTTTTATAGAAATAAAATTATCTATCTATCTATCTATCTCCCGCCCACCATCTCCTAAAGCAGAGGTGGGGAACTATGGCCCCTCTCTGACCTATGGACTTCAACTCCCAGAATTCTAGGAGTTGAAGTCCACAAGTCTTCAAGGAAGGGCCATCATTCCCCACCCTTGTCCTAAGGGCATTTAGCAGAGCCATCCTATCTTTCAGAATCTCCATCACGCGTGTTACGGCAGACCTGTCCCTGGCCAAGCGCTCGGTGCTCAACAATCCTGGGAAACGGGCCATCATTGAGCGATCTACAACCCGGTCTAGTATCGGTGAGTCCTAAATAATTGGAGTCAGCCTAGCCCCTGATTCGTTTCCAAAAGAATCTCAGTTTGGAAGGTGTCTTTGCCACCTAGAAGCTTGATATCTTCAGGGATCGACACAATCTTTTTAAAATGGTGCCTACTATTGTTTTATAAACAACTGTACAGAGATCTTTGAACCTGGAGTCAGCTGTGAAATAGGTCTGGAAATTTGCATCTTATAAAAAATATAGGCAAGCAACATTCTTTTTTCTAAATCATTTTTGGGTTCAACTTCAGAGTTTTATAATCCACCTGAGACCTTATTAAAGAAATTCCAAACTGAAGCAGTTCAAAAGTGTCAACGTGTTTATGAAAAATTAGCAATAATATAGAAGTAGTTTTATAACCATCACACCTTGAAAGGCAAGGGAAATCCCTCTTTCTCATTTTTATTGTTGCTGCAACTATTTCATTGGTTAGTTGTGTGGAACCAGAGTAACACTTTCAAATCTCCTGGGCAGAAATCTGTCCTTCTCTTCTGCTCCCTTGGTATATCTCTTGTTGCTCAGGCAACTATTCCTAAAACGATATTTCCCATCTCATTCTTGTCATTTCGGCACAAGCATTTATGCAATTGAATGGTTTATATTAGGGGTATCAGTGGTGGGTTTCAAATTTTTTTACTACCGGTTCTGTGGGTGTGGCTTGGTGGGCGTGACATGGCTTGGTGGGCGTGGCTTGGTGGGCGTGGCAGGGGAAGGCTACTGTAAAATCTCCATTCCCACCCCACTCCAGGGGAAGGTTACTGCAAAATCCACATTTCCTCCTGATCAGCTGTGACTTGGGAGGCAGAGAATAGATGGGGGTGGGGCCAGTCAGAATTTTTACTACCAGTTCTCCGAACTACTCAAAATTTCTGCTACCGGTTCTCCAGAACTGGTCAGAACCTACTGAAACCCACCTCTGATTTGCAACCTTAAACACTCAAAGAGCCATTTGGACCCATTTCCCACAGAAAACACTGGGAGCCACAAAACCTGGGTGGGCGTGGCCAACTCAACATCACTCCCACCCAGTCACATGACACCCTCCCAGCCATGCCTACCTGGGTTTTGTGGCTCTGGGTGTTTTCTGTGGGAAATGGGTCTCTCTCTCTCTCTCCCTGTTTCATTTTTCTCTTTTTCCTCTCCCTCTCCCTCTCCCCCTCCCTCCCTCTCTTTCTTTTCTTTCTTTCCTTTCTCTCTCCTTCTTTCTCGTTTCCCTCTTTTCCCTCTCATTCTCTCCCCCTTCTGTCTCTCATTTGATTTTCTCTTTTTCCTCTCTTTCATTCTCTCTCTCCATCATTTTCTCATTCCTCTCTCTCTTTTTCATCTTCTCTCTCTCTCTCTCTGTGTGTGTGTGTGTGTGTGTGTGTGTGTGTGTGTGTGTGTTCCTTCTTGAACCATTTCCAAAAACAGGCGAGGGTTGGGTTTTGTTTTGTTTTTTGCTGATGTTCTTTCTTTTTCTTTGGGTGCTTTTTACCATATGATTTAAATCAAGAGTCATTTCAGATTCCCAGATAAATGAAGCTCTTTTGTCCCCCTGCTGTGGCTCCCTGTCGGCCGGTTGGCCTTCTCCTCGCCCTCCCAGTCACTCCTCGCATGGCCTGAGAAGATAAGGGTGACAGCAGGGATGGAGACTCGCTCCATATTCCAGAGCGGGAGAGAAGCGCCCCTGTACTTGCCTCTCATCTCGCGGGCGCTTCTTCCAGTGCTTCTTGGTGCTGCACACACCTTGGTCACTTGGGGAGATGCGTTACTTTCTCTCCGCCCTGAGACACTGGCCCAACCCAGCTGCAGCCAATGCTCTGCTTTGTAATGGGCTCCAGGAGGAGGAGGGGACGCCGTCTCCCCCATTGTGAAGCATGCTAAATTTAAGTCTGCTGCACAAGGCGCTGCAAGAGCAGCGAGCAGGCCATGGAGGCAGCGAGAGCAGTGGCGTCAGCCACAGCCGGGCTGGGCCAGTGCTCCAGACTTGCAACTTGCTCTCACCACCTCCATGGCCTGCTCGCTGCTCACGCAGTGCCTTGCGCAGCACACTTAAATTTAGCACACTTCACAATGGCCGGAAGAAGTGCCTGCGAGATGAGAGGCAAGTACAGGGGTACTTCCCTCCCACCCTTACCTTCTCAGGCCATGCAAGGAGTGACTGGGAGGGCAAGAGGTGGGGGCAGCCAGCCAGCAGGGAGCCACAGCAGGGGGACGAATGAGCCGCATGCGGCTTGGGAGCTGCACTTTGCCGACACCTGGTTTATACAAACCATTTTCCCTAGGTTTCAGGAAAGGCATGGAGGAACATTTCATATTGACTGTAATGTAAAGGGTGTTTATTGGAGTTTAAAGGCACATAGCTCAAAATAGGCATGAGTAGGAGGAAATGGGGATATTGCTAAGTGAGTATAAATAGAGGAAGAGGAGGGAGGGAAGATTCAGGGGCAAGGCCAATACTAAAATATTGTAATTTGAATCATCAGTAGGGGTTTTATGACCAAATGACATTGTAACACCTTATCTTAAACAATGAGCCATGCATTTAACACTGCTGTTGTGGGGAATGACAATGTCATTTGAGCTTTTGAATTGTGCAAATTGTGCAAATTTTTCCCACTCTGCTACCATCCCAAATAAAAATAATCTCAAAGCTGCTCTTATTGGAGATTCATGAAAACCTACCAGTTCAGTAAGAATTGTTAGTTATTGTCAAGAACCCTCATGTAAATATTAGCATGTGCTAGCCGTTAATATTTTTAGCAACTTGTTTTCAATACACACACACACACACACACACACTGTGGAATCCCATCTCTGTGTGAGGCACCCTGTTGATGGTATTTTTGCAAAATACAGGAGCTGCAAGTAATTAATATAGCATTGCACTTCTTATGAGGAAAATAAAAGGATGAGGCCCATGCTAATACATAGCAAGCAAAATATAGGTGAAGTAGTGTTGCACAGGTCACATATTTTACAACCAGGGGCACTGCAGTTGAAGGTTCAAATTGCTGCAATGTTTTAGTAATTCTAAAGTCTGTTCGTCCTCTCTTGGCATGCTGATCTGTGCAGAAATTAAGTTTAAAATTGGCAATAATTCATTTTAAATTTTTTATGCATTTGCATATTGGAAATAGCTTTTAGCTTTTGAAGCACGTGACCTTAGAAATGTACCCAAAAGAACTACTTTAAAAGCAATTTGTGAGCAAAGTGGAAGATTGATGGAAAGCCTGTCTGGAGGATAAATGGGAATATATACCACGGCCCTGGTGAATGACTTAGATGTCATAGTAAGGGAATAAAATATTTGTAGACACTAATACCTTTTTAAAGATGCAGCTACTACCCCAGATTAAGGCAAGTTACAGTACTAGTATTATTGTTTAGTAAATGTATGTGTGATCTAAAAACTCCTGCAATTTTTCCATGCCTCTTCACAGAATCAAACAATCTGTTCTAATATTTCTTGCTGATATCCATGAGGTTACAAATGTGGTGGGTGTGAGCAGCCCGTAGACCTATAGACCAAATGCAGCTCTTTTGAGGGCACATTTAAACTGCAAAATTATATTGGTGGGATTTTTAGCTTAAGTCTGAAAAAGAAGACATGAATAGAGAGCTTATAATCGCTTTCCCCTCCTCTTTCCTGATGGCCTCAGTGCTATATCTTCTGTAGCTCTTTCAAACCGGGGAAAAAAGTATGCAAATTTTTAGTTACAAAACAGTTATCCTTCCCTAACATATGGGCATGGATTTCCACTGGTTGAAGCAGAAGGCTGTGACATGGCTACGAGTGAGAAAAGTTGGAAAATTGTAGAGATTTTACTTTCATTTGACATTGCATAGCAAACATGGAACAGATAACTTGATCTCTCTTAAACAGCTGTCTAATCATTCTCCTTGAATATACTTGCTAGCTCAAATTTCTCAATTTCTGCTGTAGTTAACACATTGTATTTATATTCCTTTTACGTTCCATCAGTGCAGTATTTCAAAAGCACTTTCTATGCATTTCCCCAAGCATTGACTCAAGAACAGCGATCCTCCCAAATTCCATCAACAATGTCGTTTATGCATGCTTATTCAAAAATAAGTCCTACTGAGTACTATAAGACGCACCTGACCATAAGACGCATCTAGGTTTAGAGGAGGAAAAAAGAAAAAAATATGAATGTGGAGCGCAGTCTCACTGTGAATATGGAGCGCCAAATAATGAGCCGTAGTGTATGAGGGCAGGAGGCGGAGCCTGAGAGGACCACAGATAGGTGTCCTCTCATGTGCCAGCTCTGCCTATTGACTCCTGCACTGTGGAAAAGAGACACAAGAGGCGGGGTTCAGCACTGTGAAAGGACCCTGCTGCCGTGGCCGGACTACTATTCACTATATTTGCTCCATAAGAGGCACAGACATTTCCACCCACTTTTTTGGGGGGAGGGAAGTGTGTCTTATAGAGCAAAAAATACAGTAACTCTGAAATACGCACAAAACCAACTTCTGGAAATATCCAATGACATCCCTTAAGCCAGGTGCTGAAAGTTTATGAGTTGTTTCAGCACCTTGCCTAGTTGAGTTGCTTGCTAACACTGGGACAAGATAACCTGCCAATGTATGAATATTCTGCATTCAAAAAGTTTCAGCATGTTTGTTTTGCTGTAAGCTTGCAATCACTGTATTATATGGGCCACCATTTATAGTACTGTAATACTAATATCCAAATTGCAAATTAGTTGCTTATGAAAAATTGGTTGGTTACCTCTTGCTACTTTACCACTTTTGGAAAAATTAATAAATAGAAAGTTTTTAGATGGGTGTAATAGATTCCAAGAATTACTTAAAAGATAAGTCTATTTTTAGAATCAACAAATGATATTGTTTTCAGGCAGTGGTTCTCAAAAGTGCAGATCCTTTCAGGGAGTCCACAAAGTTAAATCAATAAATATTTTAAACTTTCTCAATTTTAATTTCTGACACAGTAAATATTGATAAATATAACCCACATAAATCAAAGTTCTTTAGGGTCCTCAATAAGTTTTAAGAATGGAAAGGGTTCCTGTGACCAAAATATTTGAGAAACCCTGTTGTAACATTAGCCTTGGTAGATGGCAACATCTGGCTGACCTTTCTTGATTCAGAAACTATCTTTAGCATTAGGATTCTTCGCACAGTCAACCAGATGTTCAGACTGGATTTGGCTTTTTTGTCTGCCTATCGAGTTCTTTCCAAGGCAGATATGGATGTTTGATGATGTTACAGATACTGTGGCAGGATGTAAGCTGTTCTGAGTAAAGCTGCCTTTTGCAATTGACTGGTGGTGAATTTGTAGTCAAGTAGTGCTCCAGTTATTTTGGGATCGCACTATTATTACAGGTAGTCCTCAAATTATGGCCACAATAGACACCAAAACTTCCATTACTAAGTGAGACAGTTATTAAGTGAATTTTGCTCCCTTTTATGACTTTTCTTGACAGTTGTTAAGTTAATCACAAAAGGTGATCACATGAGCCCCCGGAGTCTGAAACTGTCATAAATACAAATTAGTTGCTATACATCTAAATTTTGATCATGTGACCATGAAGGTGCTGCAAAGGTCATAAGTGTGAAAACCGATCATAAGTCACTTTTTTCAGTGCCGTTGTAACTTCGAACGGTCATTAACTGAACTGTGGTAAGGTTCTGGAGAACTGGTAGCAGAAATTTTGAGTAGTTCGGAGAACCAGCAAATACCCCCTCTGGCTGGTCCCAGAGTGGGGTGGGAATGGAGATTTTGCAATATCCTTCCCCTGGAGGGGGATGGGAATGGAGATTTTGCAGTATCCTTCCCCTGGAGGGGGGTGGGAATGGAGATTTTGCAGTATCCTTCCCCTTCCCCTTCCACACCCACGAAGCCACGCCCACCAAGCCACACTGACAGAACCAGTAATAAAAATATGTGGATTTCACCACTGGTTGAGCTTCACCTGACAGCATCTTTTTAATGTAGACTGAAAGCACTTCCTACACAACCACTCTTCCCTGCTGCTGTATTCTGTATCATTGTGTGAACATTCCCTTGCCTGCTTTCTGGGAATGGGAAATGGCTTTTCCTGTTGACCAATAAAGAAAGGGGGGGCGGAAAGAAAGGGACCAATAAAGAAAAGAAGGGAAAAGGACCGCCTTCTACCGCATAGCTCCCAACGACCAGTAAGATCCCACAGAGTTGGTCTCCTCCGGGTCCCGTCAGCTAAGCAATGTCGGCTGGCGGGCCCGTGGGGGGAGGGCCTTCTCTGTGGCTGCCCTGGCTCTCTGGAACCAATTACCTCCTGAGGTCCAGACCGCCCCCACCCTATTGGCCTTCTGGAAAGCGGTGAAGACCTGGCTTTTCCAGCAGGCCTGGGGCCGTTGATCTCGCTGCTGCAATCTTGCGAGACCCGGCCATGAATGGAATGTATGGGTTTTTAATGTTTTTTTTAAAACAACTTTTATTGTATATTGTTCACATTATTTTTTGTTGTAAACCGCCCAGAGTCCCCAGGGAGTTGGGCAGCATAGAAATGCGACAAATAAATAAATAAAAAATAAAAAATACTGGTATTCCATCCAATGCCCAATCTCCTCAGTTCGTTCCCCCCCTCCCTCCTGTGAGGAGAAAATGCAGGGAAACAGCAAAGCCACTTTTCCAAGCATTCTTGAAAGGGGTCAGAAGGAGAAACCACGATTCCTTTCAGATGAATGGAGGCAAATCTCGGGAGACAGAATGAAAAAGGAAGGAACTTTCTTTCCTTCAGAGCTCAGGAGAAGATACTGCAAAACGTTTCTCGAAGCATTTCCCCTGGAGAAAGAGGCAAACAAGTTCAGCCTCTGAAGCGCCCCTACCCCCATCCCAGAAGCCCTATGGAGATGCAGTGAGTTGGCACCAGGATCTCCGATTGGCACTTCCTCAGTGTATGGAAATGGCTCAAGATAAAATTAAACTCATTGATCAGTTGTGAACTATTTTAGGAAAGCATCAATTCTATAAGTAAATTCAGCTCTCTGAATAAAATATATGTTTGTTGTAATGTCCTTAATTTCACTTGGGTTAGTTCTCAAGAATCAGAGAGGGCAAAACCTCGTCAGTCATTGAAATGGCTCTTTCATTCCTTGAGCTTTTCTCTTGAAAGTTAACTCAATTTTCTGCTTAAATCTTCCTTCTGATTGAGGAGGCAAGTCAAGACATCATTGTTACCTTTCCTGAAAGTGACTTCTGCTGACTCTTTGCCCAAAAGTTCTTCTGAGGAACCACCTCCAGAAAACTTCCTTCTGGGGTAACTCTTGCAGCTTTTACTCTGGGAGATCACAGTTAGTTTTCAGCCTTTTCCTATACTTTGTTAGATACTACCTCTGCAGACATGCTACTCCATGTGTAAACCCAGAATGGTTTCAAGTTATCCCTTTTAAAACAGTTAGTCCTTGACCTACGACCACAATTGAGCCCAAAAGCTAAGCAAGACAGTTTTTAAATGAGTTTTATTTTACGACCTTTCTTGTCCAAGTTGATAAGTGAGTTCTGTGCTGCCAAGTTAGTCATATGATTGTTGAGTGAATTTGGCTTCCCCATTGACTTTGCTTGTCAGAAGGTTGCAAAAAATGGATATGTGACTTCGGGGACCCTGCAGTTGTCATAAATACATGCCGGGTGCCAAGTGTCTGGATATTGACCATGTGACCATGGGGATGCTGCAATGGTCATTAGTGTGAAAAATGATCATACGTCACATTTTTCAGCGCCATTGTAACTTCAAACGGTCACTAAATGAATGGTTGTAAGTCATATAAGTGCTACCTGCACTATACTTGATAGGCTACTTCTCCACGAAGGGACATGAAAACTGGATTTGTTAAACATGAATTATTGAATAAATAAATTATTCAATAAATAAAATACATTCAATGCACTAAGCAATTAACAGTACCCGAATTTAGATACCACATTACGCCTAGCCCAAACAAACCACATTATAACTTAGTTTGATGTGTGAACTCACTCACTTATAGTTTTATAATTTCTGCCTGTTCAGTGAGTGGCCTCTGTCTTGGAACTAGTTCAAGTTGATTGTAAATTCTTAACTGATTTGTTTAACCAGGAATTTTGATTGGGTTTAATTTATAACCTTTAAAGATGCAATTGTGAGTTACTAGGAAGCAGCAGCACCAGTAATGGAATTTGGCAAATGGTCAGCAACAGGCCTCCATCATAAAGTGTCTTATTGGTAATCCTATCTGCCTTTCCCAGATAATATTATCATATTAGTCAAAATAAATTTATGAGCCATGTAATCAGCTTTTACCTCAGAATCAGTAAGTGATTAAAAATTCCTATTGTGTGCCTTTAACCTTTCCTTGTGACTCAGAGATATTCATTAGATTCATCTGATATTAGATTTAAATGGGAATTTAAGCTCCTGACAATCCTGACCGTAAAGTCAGTTTTTCACAAAAGGAGAAAAGAAAAAAAAAAAAAAGATGGGAAGGCAAACTTGAACACAAATTCTTAGCCGTAAGGTTCTTATTTTGACCAGGTGGATCCAAACGGCTTAAGAGCCATGGGCAGGGGTGGGCTTCAAAAATTTTAGCAAGGGGTTCTCTGCCCAGTTGCTGGGTGGGCGTGGCTATGGTGGGCGTGGCCTAGTTGGCCTCCTGCACCACGGGAGGGAGGCGTTTTTGCCCTTTCTGGGCTCTGAGGTTTTCCTCGCGTCTCCGGGAGGGTGAAAACGGCCTCCCCAGGCTCTGGAGGCCTTCCCAAACTTCCGGTAGGCCCATTTTTTGCTCTCCCTGAGCCTCCGCGCACACCCTGCACTTACCTGCATCCAAAATGGGCCGCATGGGAACTCCTGGGAGGGGAGGGGAGGGGTGGGTAGGGCCAGCCAGGAATGGGATTTGGGGGTTCTCCGAACTGCACAGAATCTTAGCTAGAGGTTCTCCCGAACTCCTGCAAACCCCCAGCAGCCCACCCCTGCCCATGGGAGCCAATTTGGTCACACCAGGGAGGGAGGGGATGGTTAATGAACAAGCAGGGAGCAAAGCCTGATGGGCTGGTTTCCCATTAAAGCCAAGGGAAGAGGCTTCTGCTATATGTTACCTCAGCATGGCAGCTTTTGTGATTGCAAGTGGGTGTCCCTCTTCGGGACTTCTCCTGGGGATGATGGTTTCCCAGTGTGTCGTAAAAGCCTTGTCTTTTACTACAGAAGAGGAAGACGAAGAGGAATATTGGAGGTGAGAAACGCAAGAGATACAAGTAGTCCTCGACTTTCAACCATTTGTTTACCATGGGTTCAACATTAACAACAGCACTCAAAATAGTGACTTATAATCAATCCTTACACTTACGATTATTGCAGCTTCTCCATGATTAAAATTTGGATGCTTGGCAACTGGCATGTATTTACAATGGTTGCGGCAGGGGTGAAATTCAACAGGTTCTGACAGGTTCTGGAGAACTGGTAGCGGAAATTTTGAGTAGTTCAGAAAACCGGCAAATACCACCTCTGGGTGGCCCCAGAGTGGGGTGGGAATGGAGATTTTGCAGTATCCTTCCCCTGCCATGCCCACCAAGCCACACCATGCCCACCAAGCCACACCCACAGAACCGGTAGGGAAAAATTTTGAATTTCACCCCTGAGTTGCGGGGTCACGTGATCACCATTTGCAACCTTCCCAGCTGGCTTCCGACAAGCAGAGTCAGTGGGAGAAGCCAAATTCACTTAACAACCCTGACATTCACTTAACAACTGCAGTGATTTGCTTAACAACCATGGGGAAAAAATTGCAAAATTGGCAAGACTCACTCATAACAATGGTGTTGCCGAGTAATGGAAATTCAAGCCCCAATTGTAAATTATAAGTCAAGGATTAACTGTATCTGAGACGTACAGAGGGAAGGAAGCTGAGAAAATGGCATTTCCTCTTGGGAAGAAGGATGTCCGATTCACAGTCCTTCTGTTGCTTTTACAGCTGAAGTCCAGAGCGAGATTGAGCGGATCTTTGAATTGGCCAAGACCTTGCAACTGGTAGTGCTGGATGCAGACACCATCAACCACCCAGCCCAGCTGGCCAAAACCTCTCTGGCTCCCATCGTTGTCTATGTCAAAGTTTCTTCCCCAAAGGTGAGCTGGGAATACGGGGGTTACGCCCAACCGGCAGCTTTGCTCCCATCCCAGAGGTGCTTTCCTGCTGCCTCCTTGTGGTGTTCCCTGGTGATGCTTCTGAGCTTACAAAACTCTAAGCCTTATTTATCTTTACAACAGGCCTCACAACAGGGAAACAAACTGTTGCCATCCAAATAAAGTTAGCAAGTCAGAACAATCTTTGAATACCACAGAGAGAGTCTCCTCCTCCTTCCTTCTCTGAATTTTGCCTTCCACTTCCATTCTCTGCTTTAAAAAAGACAAGACTACAGGTGCATGTTCAATAGCAGATGGTGATGGAAAAATACTTAGTGCAGTCTTCAGGATTTTATGCTAAAGCTGCTTGTAACAGGGTGACTCGGATTGCCCTGCCGTTTTCTTTTTAAGGAAATTTGATGGGAAATGGTTGTTTTCCATGACCAGAGAAGAGGCAGAGCAATGCCAGCCTTGATCTCTGAGTGAATAGCCTGATAGCAATAGCAATTAGATTTATATACTGCTTCACAGTGCTTTACAGCCCTCTCTAAGCGGTTTACAGAGTCAGCATATTGCCCCCAACATTCTGGGTCCTCAGTTTACCCACCTCGGGAGGATGGAAGGATGAGTCAACCTGGAGCCTGGTGAGATTTGAACTGCCAAATTGCAGGTAGCCGGCAGTCAGCAGAAGTAGCCTGCAGTACTACACTCTAACCACTGCACTACTGTGGTTGATAGTCCCAAAGGTGTTTTGTTTTTTTATAGGAAATCCAGTTGCCTTTTGGAAAAAGCGCCTTTGGGATTACTAGTCTCTACATTTTGTAAAAAACACCTTTGTCACAATGATGACCTGGATGATTGAGAATCTCCATAGACAGGGCCGGATTTAGATGAAAAGAGGCCCTAGGCTATTCCACTTATGAGGCCCTTTCACCTATAGTGAAAGTGTAATTTTAATTTTGCTAACAATTTGAATGTAGGCCCCTCTTGATCTTGAGGCCCTAGGCTGAAGCCTAGTTAGCCTATAGGAAAATCCGGCCCTGTCCATAGATATAGGGCCTGATAGGAAGGTGGGCTACTCTCATAACTAGCTGGTCTTCAAAGCTACCATATCAGAAGAAGAAGCCACATCAATCAAGAGAACACCCCTCCCTTCCTTAGGAAGCCCATATTCATTTCCAATGAGCCTGGATAGCTCTGCAGACAAAAGCACTGTAATTTAACACCAGCTGTCTGCAATTACTGTAAATCCGAATCTTGCCAGGCTCAAGGTTGACTTAGCCTTCCATCCTTTCTAAGGTAGGTAAATTGAGGACCCAGTTTGTGGGGGCAATAAGCTGACTTTGTATAAAATATACAAAAGTATGAAGGCTATTGCTTAACGCATTGTAAGCCGCCCTGAGTCTCCGGAGAAGGGCAGCATATAAATCAAATTTAAAAAAAAAAAATGAGGCCAATCAACCTTTGGGTGACTATGGGCTATCTGTCGTAATTAGGAGCAGTTGTATCTACAGTACATGAGGGAATGATTCAAAGGGGTCTGGACAAGAATTTTGCTGAAGAACAAACTTTGGAGATGTGTCTTTGTTTTTCAAGTTATTTTAGCCAAATCATATCGGCTGCGTAACTGTTTTCACATGTCTCCTGCCTCAGAATAGCTGAAAACTATAACACCAATATTGCATATATATATGGAGGGATATTTGACCTTCTGTGGACCAAGGAAAAGGGGCTAAGGGCCACATACGAGTTAGGCTGTAGCAGCATAGCTCAGCAGATCTGTAATTTTCTCAGTTGGCCAAATGCTGAGAAAAGGAACTGAATGTTTTTGAATGAATGTTCCTAGCCAGAAAGCCAAATTCATTCCTCGGCCACTGTCTTACTTATGTACAGCAATAGCTCTAGATCAGCTCTTCCCAATGGCTGTAGATCAGCTCCTCCCAACAACCTGCCAGATGTTGGGGTTAAGGAAACCCAAGGTAAGCAAGCCAAGACCGTTCTTGAGAGTTAATTAACCCACTTGGGCTTTCTTAAATTTGGGTAAGGGTGTTCTAGATGTATGCTAATTCTTAACCCAAATCTGTTGCTAAGACGTTATAGTAGCTCTAGATTTCATGTGGCTACTTTGAACTCTTTGCCTGTATCTTCTCCTTTTTCTGTCGAAGGTGTTGCAACGCCTTATTAAATCCAGAGGGAAATCACAGGTGAAGCATCTCAATGTGCAAATGATGGCTGCTGACAAGCTTGTCCAGTGTCCTCCGGTGAGCCTTTTATGCATAATGTTTTTGATTCATCTCCCATCTCCTCCTTGTCCTGGCTCTGCTTGTGTCCACTTTGATGGCATGAGCAAAATAAATTTCTCTGGCTGCCCTTCTCTACTGATACCCTGCCCCTTTCTTAAAGAGACTGATTTAAAGTTACATTCTAGAATCAGTTTGTTTTTGGAGATACACGAATGGTTTTCCCACAAACCCCAACCGACACTAGTCTGATTTTCTATACAGGTAGCCCTCGACTTACAACAGATCATTTAGTGACCGTTCAAAGTTACATCACTGAAAAGTGACTTATGACCATTTTTCACACATACGACCATTGCAGTATCCCCATGGTCATATGATCAAAATTCAGACAGTTGGCGACCAAATCATATTTATGATGGTTGCTGTGTCCCGGGCAGGGGTGAAATGTAAAATTCGTTACTACCGGTTCTGTGGGCGTGGCTTGGTGGGGGGGTAATGTGACTGGGTGGGCGTGACCAACTTTTTTTTTTTTTTAACTTTTCAAAGCATTTTTTCTAATGCTTTGAAAAGCCTCTGCCAATCAGGAAACTCAGCTGGGATCGTCAGAGAGGCATTTTTTAAAAATATCTCTCTGCCGATCAGGCAACTCAGCTGGGATTGTCAGAGACTTTTCAAAGCATTTTTTTTACCACCTCTTCTGCCAAAAGGTTGCAGAAAAAAATGCTTTGAAAAGCCTCTGACTATCCCAGCTGAGCCGCGCGATCATCAGAGGCTTTTTTTTTTACTTTTAAAAGCATTTTTTCTGGAATGGAGAAGATTGACTATATACAAAACAAATATGGGACTAAAAAGTTGCAAATAGCTTATGAATGAAATATTTAGATGATTTTTCTTTTTACTTTGATATTTTGGTACCTATGGGGGAGTTAAAGAGTAAGGGGGAGTTAAGAGCTTATAGTTAGTTTGTTTATGTTAGATTATGTTTGTTAAACATAAGAGCTCATCCGGATAGTGTTTTGAATATCAATACTGTGGGTGGGAGAGGTAGATATGGCGGGAGCAGGGGGCTATATCATGTTAGGGGAGCGCGCACTCGCTGTTTACGAGCAATGGCGTGCTCCGGCCCCCAAAGCTCCACCCGTCTCCCAGGTTGCATAGACCCTCAGGGCCCGGGCCTTCGGCTGATGCTATGCAATGCCAGGTCCGTTGTAAATAAAGCCCCCTCATTTGTGATCTTATTCAGGAGGGGGGGTGCGGACCTGGCAGGTGTTACGGAGACCTGGTTGGGCCAGGAGGGGGGGGTTCCCCTCATTGAAATGTGCCCTCCAGGTTTCCTTGCTTTCCATCAGCCGAGGTCACAGGGGAGGGGCGGGGGGGTAGCGGTTATCATTAAGGAAGGTCTGAAACCGAGGGAGGCCACTGTCCCTCAGATGACCGGCTGTGAATCCCTCCTTGTGAAGTGGGGCCACGGGGTTCAGATGGGTTTGCTGATCACGTACCTAGCTCCCTGCCACGTGGCAGCAGCCCTGCCCGAGCTACTCAACGTCATCGCCGCGGTGGCGGTTGATATCCCCAGGCTTATGGTCATGGGGGATTTCAACCTACCGTCCATGGGCGAGGCGTCTGAGGTGGCTCGGGAGTTCATGGCTTCCATGACAGCTATGGACCTGACCCAGTTAATTCATGGCCCTACCCACACGGGGGGAAACACGCTGGATCTAGTTTTTGTCTCTGGACAGTGGTTGAGTGATCTCGAGATAGGGGATATAGTCACCGAGCCCTTGTCATGGTCTGATCACTCTCTCCTTCATCTCGACCTTCGAACTGCTACACCCTGCCGCAGGGAGGCGGAGCCAGTAAGATGGTTCCGCCCCAGGCGCCTGATGGAACCTGATAGGTTCCAGATGGAGCTTGGGCCATTCCCTGAGGCTCTGGCACACGCCTCAACTGGAGACCTAGTGGCTGCCTGGGATAGGGCGGCCGCTGGAGCTCTGGACCGGGTCGTGCCTTTGCGGCCTCTGACCCGGTGCCGATCTCATTTAGCTCCTTGTTTTACTGAGGAGCTGAGGGAGTTGAAGCGCCGGAAAAGACGCCTAGAGAGTAGTTGGAGGGCCAGTCTTTCTGAATCTGACCAGACACTGCTAAGATCTCATATTAGGAATTACCTAGTGGCAATAAAAGCAGCGAAATGTAGTTACTTTGCTGCTCTTATTGCGTCATCAGATAATCGCCCGGCCGCCCTATTTAGGGTGACCCGCTCCCTGCTCCACCAGGAAGCGCGGGAGGACCCCTTGGAGGGTAGAGCCGAGGATTTTGTTCAATATCTGTATGACAAAATCACTCAGATTCGGGAAGATCTGGACTCTGACTGGGTAGTCTCAGGGGGAGGGACTGGGGCAGGTCTTGAGAATGTTATCTGGGATGAGTTTGATCCTGTGACCCCTGAGGACATGGACCGGATTTTGGGTAGACTGAACGCGACCACTTGTTTATTGGACCCGTGTCCTTCCTGGTTAGTGCTGGCTTCTCGGGAGGTGACACGAGGCTGATTCCAGGGGATTATAAATGCTTCATTGGGTGAGGGTGTCTTTCCTGCCGCCTTGAAAGAGGCGGTGGTGAGGCGTCTCCTCAAGAAGCCTTCCCTGGACCCGGCAATGTTGGTAAATTATCGTCCGGTCTCCAACCTTTGTTTTGTGGCGAAGGTTGTTGAGAGTGTGGTCGCGCAACAGCTCCCCCAGCACCTGGATGAAACGACGTATCTGGATCCGTTCCAGTCGGGCTTCAGGCCCAGGTACAGCACGGAAACGGCATTGGTCGCGTTGGTTGATGATCTCTGGAGGGCTCGGGTCAGGGGGTGCTCCTCTATCCTGGTCCTGTTAGATCTCTCAGCGGCTTTTGATACCATCGACCATGGTATCATGCTGCACCGGTTAGAAGGGTTAGGGGTGGGAGTCACTGTGTTGCAGTGGTTTTCCTCCTTTCTCTCTGACCGGTCGCAGTCTGTGTTGACAGGGGGACAGAGGTCGACCCCGAGGCCCCTCATATGTGGGGTGCCGCAGGGGTCGGTCCTCTCGCCTCTCCTGTTCAACATTTATGTGAAGCCGCTGGGCGAGATCATCCGTGATTTCGGGGTGGAGTACCATCAGTACGCTGACGACACCCAGCTGTACATCTCCACTCCGGATCACCCCAACGATGCCCTTGAAGTGATGTCCCGGTGCCTGGAGGCCGTACGGATCTGGATGGGAGGAACAGGCTCAGGCTCAACCCATCCAAGACCGAGTGGCTGTGGTTTCTGACGTCCCAATATAGTCAGTTGACGCCATCACTGACTATTGGGGGCGAATCATTGGCCCCCACGGAGAGGGCTCGCAACTTGGGCATCCTCCTGGATTCACGGCTGTCTTTAGAAGAGCACCTGATGGCCGTGACCGGGAGGATTTTTTATCAGGTTCGCCTGATTCGCCAGTTGCGTCCCTTTCTGGATCGGGACTCGTTACGCACGGTCACTCATGCCCTCGTCACCTCCCGCCTGGACTATTGTAATGCTCTCTACATGGGGCTCCCCTTGAGGAGCACCCGGAGGCTCCAACTGGCGCAGAGTGCAGCCGCGCGGGTGGTAATGGGAGCGACATGGCGCTCCCATGTGACACCTCTCCTGTGCGAGCTGCACTGGCTCCCGGTGGTCTTCCGGGTGCGCTTCAAGGTTTTGGTTACCACCTTTAAAGCGCTCCATGGCTTAGGCCCTGGTTATCTACAGGACCGCCTACTACCACCAATAGCCTCCCACCGGCCAGTACGCTCTCATAGAGAGGGATTCCTCCAGGTGCCGTCAGCCAAACAGTGTCGGCTGGCGGCCCCTAGGGGGAGAGCCTTCTCTGTGGGGGCACCTACCGTCTGGAATGAGCTCCCCCCAGAGATATGGAGGATCCCGGATCTACGCACCTTCCACCGTGCTCTGAAGACCTTTTTATTCCATCAAGCGGGCTTGGCCTAATCTCCTCCCTCTTTTAATATGTAAATTTTAATCTGTTTTTAAATTATTGGGGTGTTTTAATCTGTCCGGGCCAAAATGATTTAATTTGATTTTATCTGGTTTTTAAATTTTGTGTATTTATGTATTTTATTGCTTGGCTGTTCACCGCCCTGAGTCCTTCGGGAGTAGGGCGGTATACAAATCAAATAAACTAAACTAAACTAAACTAAATGCAATACCCTGTATTTTGCTCTGGGAAGTCGGGGGGGGGGGGGGGGGGGAGAAGGGAATGGGTGGGGGGAGGAGGGGGGAATAAAAGCATTTTTTCGTCGGAAGAGGTTGTAGAAAAAATGCTTTTAAAAGTAAAAAAAAAAAAGCCTCTGATGATCCTGCAGCTCAGCTGGGGGTGGGGGGGGGGGCAGGGATTTTTGCTACCGGTTCTCCAAACCACCCGCTGGCATCGCTACCGGATCGAGCGATCCGGTCCAAACCGGGAGCATTTCACCCCTGGTCCTGGGGTCATGTGATCCCCTTTTGTGACCTTCTGACAAGCAAAGTCAGTGGGGAAGCCAGATTCATTTAACAACCGTGTGACTAACTTAACGACCGCAGTGATTCCGTGATAACAACTGTGGCAAGAAAGGTCATCAAATGGGGCAAAAACTCACTAAATCAATGTCTCATGTAGCAACAGAAATTTTGGGCTCAATTGTGATCGTAAGTCGAGGATTACCTGTACTTTGCAATGTCTAGCATCCATACAGGGAACATACGCAAGTTCTCAATTGATAGGTTTATTTATTCAGAAATCCAGGCTGTCCATGAAATTTGGGAAATCATTGAAGCATTAAATTTACAATGATAGTTCTGTACCTGTTTTAAGAGAGATGTCATTTTCCAGTACTTAATCATGCTCACTACTGAACACTGAATACTGAATACTGGATGCGGTGGCTCAGTGGCTAAGATGCTGAGCTTGTTGATCGAAAGGTTGGCAGTTCAGCGTTTCGAATCCCTAGTGCCGCATAATGGGGTGAGCTCCCATTACTTGTCCCAGCTTCTGCCAACCTAGTAGTTTGAAAGCAGGTAAAAAATACAAGTAGAAAAATAGGGACCACCTTTGGTGGGAAGGTAACAGTGTTCCATGCACCTTTGGCGTTTAGTCATGCCGGCCACATGACTACGGAGATGTCTTTGGACAGCACTGGCTCTTCGGCTTTGAAACGGAGATGAGCACCGCCCCCTAGAGTCGGGAACAACTAGCACATATGTGTGAGGGGAACCTTTACCTTTACCTTACTGAACACTTGCCTGCCGCCTTAAAGATGTGTTGGACCAGAATTCCAATTCTTCCCCTGCCATTGTTGTTCACAGTTTGGGATGATGGGAACAGGAATACACAATGCAGGTTGTCTTCAATTTAGGACAGTAAATGGAGAATAAAGGAGAATATTTGTAGCTCAGGGTTGAAATTGATGCTCAAGGGGTCCTTGATGCTCCCTGAGCTTGTGTGTTTTCTTGCACGCTAGTTTGTTTTTTGCAGTGACTAGCACTGAAAAAGTTCCCTTGTTAGGGTAATGAAACATCTGCAAAAAACGAGCAAGCTCAGAGAGCACCAAGGACCTCTCCATGTCTATTATGATTGTAATAACAGTCATAAAGTAGGTTATTATGTGACATCCTACGACCACTGTTACTTTACAGCGGTCGTGAAGCAAATCACCATATTTGTTAGGTAAATCTGCAGTTGTAAAGCAAAAGCTGTAGTTGCTAAACAAATCCATTGTTCGCTCTGACCTGCTTTTGCTGAAAACTAGAAGTAAACGCTGGGTTTTGGCAAAAACCTAAATTGCAGTCATATGACTACAGGATGCCGCAAACAGCTGTAAATGCAGGCCAATTGCCTGAAATGCGGTCATGTGACTGCAGGGGAGGGCAGCCATGAGAACTTCACCACCAGGTTGTAAGTACCTTTTGCGGGAAGGGGTGTGTATCTGTTGTAACTTTGAACAGTTGTCAAGTGACTGGTCTTAAGTTGAGGGCTAGCTGTACAAAGGCGGCAGCAAGGGCACATTGCCGTGCAGTTTATAGGTCTTACGCCTTCCTCTTCCTTATTATCTTTGCTGTTTGTTTTCCCCCAAGGAACTCTTTGATGTGATCTTAGATGAGAACCAGCTGGAGGATGCTTGTGAACATCTGGCTGAGTATTTGGAGGTATACTGGCGAGCAACCCACCACCCTGCACAAGGCCTTGGGAGCCAAAACCTCCTGACTCCTTCCACTGCCATTTCTGGCCTGCAGGTACGACAAATTGCCTTCTTGCCCCAACTGAAAAGGCTCTCTAGTACAACATCCATTTTCTAGCAGTGACTGTGGCAGATGTTTTGCAGCTCATTGGGGGTCTCCAAAGGCAATAGGCTACCTTTGTTATCTCCAACCATTAGGAATTGCTATTATGCTATTATACTACATTCAGTTTTGGTCGCCACAATGTAAAAAAAGATGTGGAGACTCTAGAAAGAGTGCAGAGAAGAACAACAAAGATGATTAGGGGACTGGAGGCTAAAATATATGAAGAATGGTTGCAGGAACTGGGTATGTCTAGTTTAATGAAAAGAAGGACTAGGGGAGACATGATAGCAGTGTTCCAATATCTCAGGGGCTGCCACAAAGAAGAGGGAGTCAAGCTATTCTCCAAAGCACCTGAGGGTAGAACAAGAAGCAATGGGTGGAAACTAATCAAGGAGAGAAGCAACCTAAAACTAAGGAGAAATTTCCTGACAGAACAATTAATCAGTGGAACAACTTGCCTCCAGAAGTTGTGAATTCTACAACACTGGAAGTTTTTAAGAAGATGTTGGATAACCATTTGCCTGAAGTGGTGTAGGGTTTCCTGCCTAAGCAGGGGATTGGACTAGAAGACTTCCAAGGTCCCTTCCAACTCTGTTATTCTATTCTATGTTGCCCCCAAACTAACCCTCAAATGGGGCAGTGAACCTTGGCCCCACCAGATATTGGACTTCAGATGCCATTAGCCATTTCCAGCATTGCCGGTGGTCATTCTTTGTATCCAAAAATATTTTGACTGGCAGAGGTTTTCCATTTTTGAGTTATTCTCTTAGAGAATCTTCAACCAGCTGCACCTCATTCCAAAAAGCTAACTTTGGGTGAAGATGAAGAGACCAGTATACAGGGTGTTCTGGACTTATGAGCGCATTTCGGACCAAAACTTCTGTTGCTAAACAAGGCGATTGTTAAATGAATCAGGACCAATTTTATAACCTTTTGTGCTTCAGTTGTTAAACAAATCACTGTTGTTAAGTGAATCTGACTTCCTCCAGATGTTGGAAGTTGGCTAGGAATCTTGCAAATGGTGCCAGAATTTTGATCATGTGACCATGGGGACACTGCAATGGTTGTAAGTGTGAGGATCAGTTGTAAGTCACTTTTTTTAGCCCAATGGTAACTATGTAGTCACTAAATGAATGGTTGTAAGTCAAGGACTACCTAAACAGCTAAAAAAAATCCAACAACATACAGCCTTCTTTAACCCATGAAGAAATATAAGCAAATTTATTGTTTCTCCTAGCTGATTGATTTGATTAAAATGTTTGTCGGGAGATTAATTAGTACTGAAGCAAAGAATCAGTCCTAATCCAATTGAAATTTCTTGATCATAAATACTGTAATTGGAAACAGAATGTATGAACCGTAATCCTATCTGGTGCAAATCAATAAATTGCAGGGCACGGGTAGAACTTATTTCTGGTCCATTTCCAAGGTTTCAATATTTTTGGTGAAAGTATAAGTGCAATGAACAGTGCTGTAGATCAGGGGTGGGGAACGATGGCTACTTTACGACCTGTGGACTTTGACTCCCAGAATTCCTGAGCCAGCATGGAATTCAGGAATTCTGAATGTCAAAGTCCACAGGTCGTAAAGGGACCATCGTTCCCCACTCCTTCTGTAGATGAATTGGGGATCCTGGAAGCTCTTGGATGGAAAAAATTAAGGGCTGAATTCCAACCCAGCTCTGGCTGTCATGTTGGGAGAGCCCCAGGCAGCGGAAGACTTGCTAACAACTTCCTCCTGCCCTTCCTTCCCGCAGAGCCAGGCCCCGATGGGCGAGCAAGAGAGTGAGCGCTCCCCGGTGGAGCACGACAGCTTGATGCAATCTGACGAAGTGAGTGACGCCTCGCGCAAGACATGGACGGCGTCCTCTCAGCGCAGCTCTCGGCACCTGGAGGATGAATACTCCGACGCCTACACTGACCTGTACCAGCCTCACCGCAACCACAACAGTGGCCTCCGCAGCACCAACGGCCATGACTCGCAGGACCGTCTTCTGGAGCGCGACTCTGAGCACAATCACAATGACAGGAACTGGCAACGCAACCGGCCCTGGGCCAAAGATAGTTATTGAAACTTCCTGGCCAGGCCTCCAGGGACACAAGACACGGCTGCTACTGTCTTTGCCATCTCCCAAACTGAGTTAATTGCCTGATCTCAAGCCTTTGTCTCTTTCCCTTTGTAGCTGAGCCCCACAGAGTGCAGGTCCTGCCCCAGTACACAGGTGCTATCTAAGGAAGCCCAGACATAGCCATGGCTGCCTAAAAGAGGTTGGATGATTTGTCTGGCCCTCCTTCACTTTAGATTATGTAGGCCATGATAGTATCTTTGCAGGGTAAACTTCACATCCCAGTTCCGTTTTGGGAGGGGTGGGGAGGCTAGGAGCTGGATTGGGCTTCTGCATCTCAGAGGAAGAAAATTTTTCCAAGAGAGAAGCTGGTTGTAGCTCCAATTTTAACTGAGCAGGAGATCAGAGCTGAAGATTACAAGGGAGAAAGTAAGCCAGGCATGTAGAGCCCTTAGGATGAGTTTACTTCTTTCAAGCGGGAGACCCAGAGCCTCACTTTTTGCCTTGCTGTAAGGTTAGACCTGTGTGCACATGTCCCGAGATCTGTCCGGAAATTGAGATTGGTGTAGATAACCAAGATTGCTAATTATAAGAGTGATACACTCTAGAAATTGATATGAACAGCCAATACTGATTCAATTACAGGGCGTGATCTTCACGGCATTGGCAGCCATTTTGTGCAAATGCTTTGGTGAATCATGTGCAATAAGCAGCAGGTGACACTGAGACACAATATTTCAGCCTGCACAGAAAAAATTAATACATCAGGAAAAAAGGTAGAATTAAAATGCTCCCTGACATTGAATGTTCTGCATTCGGGGGATTTAGTTTCATTTAAAGTCGATGAATGATGAAAGATCATTCAAGTATGGCAGGATGATCTAAGAGATTATCGATAAATTACCTGCTGCTAATTTGGATATAATCCAAATATCACAAGGCCAAAAGATATCTATGTAGCGGTGGCTTTTCTACAAGAATATATAAATGTTCATGACTGTCACTGAGAGGGCTACACAGCTTCCATCTTCTGTTGCCCTTGCAATTATTGATTAGATGGGTAGGGCCAGATACAAAAGAAAAAAAAATTGCTTCAGATTTACCCAAGATTTTCTTAGTTTTCATATTCTTTTATGTAATTCCCATGACCTTGAAGCGAGTTATTGATTCTAAGGAAGCTGAGATGCAAACTGTACTGTGCACTATTAGCACATGTAAAGTAAAGCCTCAAGGATCATTTGGTAGAATAGCAGCAGGAGAGAGGTTTAACCCTTTCCATCCTAGCTCCAAAGTATTCTGTGTCCAACATATCCCAGCCAACTGGCTGCCTTTTCTAGATGGAGTTGTAGATTCAAAAGTGTGAGGGGGGGGGGAGTCTTCAGCAGAGAAAGTTATTTTGCACAAAAAATAGCCGGTGGAGAAAGGTTTAATTAGGCCTTTCCTGACTCTTGCTGGCCATCTATTCCAAATCTACTTCATCCCCAAGTAGAGTGAAAGCCTTGAAACCCTTATTTCCTTGGAACCCCACAACCCCAACGCTCAGTCTTGTTCCTCTTGTCCTGCTAGGTCATCCTCCTGCACAGTCACTTCTGTTAGAGGACTAGTGGGAAGACATTTTTTAAAGCCACAGTATGAGATGCTTGAGTTTGTATCCTCCTCACTTGCTCCAAAATTCCTTGCTAATTGCATGCAACCTTGATCTGCCACATTCCACTTGTGTTGCGGGAAGTGGGAGGAAGATGAGGTGCCGAGTAATCGGTGCGTCCTGCTTTTTCATGGTGACTCCTACCCTCAGCACTTTGGGACTTCCATCTTGTGGAAGTGGCCCAGGGCTATAGACATCCTACTTCCTGCTTTTTCTAATGCGCAAACCCTGCTCTTCCATTCTCCCTCTTCCATTCTCGGGGCAGTGGGTGGCAGCCCCTTCTTTTCAAAAGCACGTACAGCTACCAGAAATCAGCCTGTAAATATTGCCCACTAGCATTGGGAGTTGTGTTGAGTGTGTGTTGTACCCCTGGATGGTCCAGAGCCGAAGGGGAAATGCTCTTCCCCTCTTTTGTGGCTTAGGTGGCTTGAGGACGGGGAAATGTTTCTATCCCTGCGGTAGTGGTTGTTTGATGGGCTGCTGCAACAGCTTTGTTACTCTTCTTTTGTAGAGAGCACTTATTTCCCCCAAAACTTGTAAGCCTGTTTGAAACAACAAGCGTTTGCTATTTATAACATGTGGCTGAGTGGTTGTTATTTTGAGTACAGCTGCGAGGACATTGGAATGGAGGGTTTGAAGGACAGAATTCAAGATGGGTGTTTTTGGCTGGTGTTCATAACACCCTTCCCTGATGCAACACTAAACCCAGCATGATTCTTGAGCCAAAGATTGGGATGAAGAGATATCCCATGACCTGACTGTTCAGAATTGATCTATCACAATTTTCAATTGGTTCTAGAGCTACTCTCTTCTGAGGTAGGAGTAAAGCTTGGACTCCTCTAATTTGTAGGACCTTAGGCTACAGTTGCCAGAGTTCCTTGGGGAAAATATATGGCAATTATATGGGATACATAAGCCACACATTAGCAGTATAATTAATTGTCTCAAGAGTTCAGGCACAAGCAGCTTTCATGTTAAAGCGGCAAAGGTTCAAATACAGTAGCCAGAATAAACAAGGCCCTCTTAGTTCAAATGGCATTTGTGCAAAGGAAAGTAAAAAGCAGGGAGGTCAATGAATGGGTTGCAGTCAAGTTCGTGATTGATTTACCCATCAATTGCATTCAACCTAGGAAAGGTGCGGATTGAGTGGCATCTAACCTTCCTCAGATAATAACCGAAACACTGAAATTGCCTTTTAATTAAAATGTCAGAAGTCTGCCTATTAACTGATACTCACCTAAATGCACGTTAACACACCATTTAAGTAGCATTTCTGCTTGCTCCCTATGCATCAATTCTGACTTTCAGTTATATTAGAACAAACATAGCCTAGCATCAATCTTTCTCTAGCTGTCCGTCAGAGGGCTTCTTCCCATTCACAAAATGCATTTTGATGATTCTCACTTTGAAAATTATTGTTTTGAGGAGTGGGTACCTATAGAATGGCTCACAGTTTCTGGCTTTCAAATGTTTTAAAAAGGCTATGGTCTGGAAATCTTACCTTGTCCCAATACAAGTTAGTCTGTAAAGCCATACTTTTGCAGAAATTTCAAATTTGGTTAAAATTTGTGTGTGTGTGTGTATGAATTGCCTTTAAAGTACAAACCTAAACAACAGTATTTAGTAGAACCCATCAGTTGCAACAAGCTCATTTTAGACTGTACTGTTGCTTAACAAATATCTCTTTGCCATCATCCTATTCTAGTTCTAGTCCTGCCATAGCCATGGAAGCCAATTGGGTGATCTTGGGACAGTCATTGTCTCTCAACCCAACCCACCTCACAGGGTTGTTGTTGTGGGGAAAATAGGAGGAGGAAGGTGTGTTGAAGATGTTTGCCGTCTTTGAGTTATTTGTAAAAATAATAAAGTTGGGATATAACCAATTAAATAAATAATATTGGGGATGAAAATTGAGAACAGTCATGTTCATAAGCATAGACGTTTATGTTATCAGGTTTTGCAATTTTGCATAGTTTGAGATTCGGTGCCAGCAGCTTTTTCCAGACGTTTCTCAAGCTTGTGCTATTGAGTTCATGAACAGCCAGGAATATCACCTTAAGAGCATGAAAGTGTATATAAACAGGGGGCTCTATAGTAGCACTAATATAACTTATGGCACAATTGAAAACCTTCACCCTCAAACTCTTGGTATAGTAGTAACAATACTTTGTTATAATAATGCAACGTTTTGTAAACAAAAGAGAACCCAACATTTGTCTCAATTGCTGACTCTTTTTCCTGAGACTTTTGAAACTTGCACATGGTTATCACTGTTAATCATTAAATGAGAATTGGTCAAAGGAATTCCCCCTCCCCCGCCCTCCCAAATTCAACTTACAACCTACCTCAGAAGAAAACTATAGCAACTACTGCAGAGGAAATTATTGGCTTTTCAGGAAACAAAGACCTTCCTTTCCTTGATTTCCCCAGATTTCTCAATTTAAGTATTATTTTGCTACAAGCAGTGCTGCTGTTTCCCATTCACATATAATGTAAAATAGCACAGCATTAAGCCACCAATTTATTATTTCTAATTGGTAGTCCTTTTAGTAGAACTGTTTCATTCAAAAAGAACAGCAGCAGTATAGCTATGGCAGCAGTATCACAGGTCTTTACAACGTATATTTCTACTTATGAAAAACCAAGAATAAACAGGCAGGACAAAGTTTCATATGGATTTATAGTAATTTTTTTCAGGTCATTGAAAAAAAAAATAGGAGTCTTTCTGTACATTACCTGCCCTTTTTATGTGGACTGGGGGGGGGGGGGCAGTTGTAAATAAAACAAAAACACAATTGCATTGAAACATAACAGTTTAGGATTAGAAATGGGGAGAAGTCCTCATTGGAACAGGAAAAGAGAGTCTGGAGAAGTAGTGATCACAAACAGAATTCCCCTCTTCATTGGGCCATGTCCAAAAAGTCCTCCTTGTCCGATTTATGGAGAAGATGGCAAATGTAAAAATCGATAACTGAATCCTCCCCCCTTCAAATATGTTTGGAAGTATCAATCAGGAAGGCAAGATTGCTAGCCATTCTCAACTGCCACAACAACAAAAAAATACAAATTTTCTTATAAACACCATCTTCAAAAAGAAGAACATTAAAGGATCTGTGGAGATCAAGATTTGCAAGATGACACCCTATCTCTTGGAGAAATGTTCCCATTGTTCACTCTTCAATTCAATGCAGGGTTATCATATATATATAGAGAGAGGGAAAAGTGTATTTACACTCACAGAAAATGAGAAAATGAAATAGCCACTTCACTATTAAAGACTGGAAGAGCCACTATGCTTTTACCCTGTGTCATTGCCTAGGCCTCAAATGGTGTCAAAGAGTGACCTTTGATTATAATACAAGGGGGTGGGGTGGGGGGAGAGGGCTCTTTGTAGGCTAACTACACACTCAGGCAAAGATAGTCTCCTCCCGACGCTTCTTAGTGAGGATGGTTCCTGGTTTGTGTTGGGCATCTGGATGGTTGGCCAGTTCTGGGGGGCATGAAGACACCGGACTCTCAAGGATAGCTTGCTTAAGGTCATAGAAGACAGCAGAATCCTCTTTGGTGACAAAAGAAATAGCGACGCCACTTTTCCCAGCTCGTCCTGTTCGACCAATGCGATGGATGTAATCTGCAACAAAGAAGGAATTGAATTAAGGCACAGACACTGCTGGTACATCAGATGCAGTTTGGAGACCTAGCATAGAGTTCCCCAACCTTTCCGGCCTTGCGGACCAGCGGGGGGTGGCAGGTGGATGGTTCTGCTTGAGCGGCCGGCAACTACGTGCGAGCCGCTCCATTTGCTTGAGCGGTGTGTATATGCACCTGCTGCTCATTGCAAATGGAGCATGTGTGCACGCGCTCACCCACTGCTCGCACAAGTGGGGATACGCGTGTGTGCACTCGCCTGCCATTTCCACAGCCTGGTTGCAAACACGCCGCAGAGGTTGGAGACCCCTGATCTTGTGGACTCTGGAGAACTGTATGGCTATGCCTTAAGAATAGCATAACGTTTAAGAAAGCAATAAGCAATGGATAGAGCATTTCAAGGCTCCGAGTACTTTCCATACATTATTTCAACAATCCTGGGACTAGCCTGTAAAACAAGGTGCCGAGCAGTTCTGCTTTGTAAAAACTGTCTAATAAGAAGGCAACTGGGAGAAGATTTACAGTAAATTACATGTGGCTTTTGTATTTTGCCACGATACACCATCAGCAATGTACTGCTAGGAGAATCCACATCTCTACGAGATTGACTGGGGATATATCTTCTAATATTCCAGTCCCCCTGCCTTACTGGTATTCACACATGCTCACAAACACTAGTTCTTCCAAATTTCATTCAGAGAAAAAAACTATCAAACATTCCACAGATGGGGGAACTTGAAGGAAAGGAAAAATAAAAGGGTAACTCACCTTCTATGTTTTTAGCCATATCGTAATTCACCACCATGGACACATCATGAATGTCAATACCACGACCGGCTACATCTGTGGCCACCAAAATGTCCTTGGCACCAGCTTTCAAATTGGAGAGGGCAAATTCACGTTGCTCTTGACCTTTACCACCATGAAGGGTGCAAGCATTGTACTGCAGAGATAGAGATAAGGAAAGTCAAATTATTGTAGTGAGGTTGGTGCTGAAGAGAGCAGGAACTAATATTATTTCAAAGGCACAGATATTTTGAAAGGGGACTGCAGCAGAAGTAGTTCTACCAATTTCCATATAATTTTAGAGGTATCTTGCAAGTTACTTTAGGGATAAAAATAATTGGCAGTCAGCAGAGACAGTCCTCTTTTAGTAACAAAGTTCCTAGATGAAAAGCTCCTGCGGACAGAGAGCTGTTTATAAAATTGATGAATACATATTACAAGCTATTTGTTCAACAGTCGACTGCAAGAGAACAGAGGAGAGAGAAGTACACATTGTCCAAAAGATAATGAAAGATTCCGTTCTGGGATGCCTCAAAAGACGGCCCTGGAAACCCTAAGAAACCTTGATCTCAACGAACATTTGCAATTCTGTAACTCTAAATAGGATCGTGACTCACCCCCATTTTCTCCAAAGATTTGGCCAATACATCACAGCCCTTCTTTTGGTTGACAAAGATGATAATGGGAGGATCAAAACCTTGCTCCAAAATAGCCAACAGTTTCTTTCTGTGTAAGTAAAACGGGGAAAATTGTAAGGAATAAACAGGAAATAGGATCTTTCAGTTGAGAGTGGAAGGTATCACATATTAAAACGAAATGTCCTGCTGCATTCTAGCTTTCTGCTCTAGTACTACATGTATATCACAGTACGCTGAAGCCTTTGTCATCCCTGGGCCACCATTTCAGGAATAATTTAATGCCCTGTCATGCAAGAACACCACAGACATAATCCTGCCCTGGAATCTGCCCACATCGTTCATTTCAAATAGAGACACAAAGAGCAGACATGAAGAAAAACTCTAAGGCAACTAATAACAAAATAATCACCTGTTGCTACGTGTTACTTCTTCAAAACATTTTAATTTCTAATGGGGAGATTTTTATCTGAAATACCAGAGCAATGCATGCCATGTAAGCAAAGGATAAGCAGCATAAGACATCTCTCCAATGAACGAGAAAGATGCATTTCTGCCCCGTTAGGGACAGGGCATGGGGATTTTCACTCAAGAAGGTACAGTGCTTATGGACGTCTCCTCTGGACCAGCCCTCAGAGGATGCCAATTAAATTTTAAAAACATTTTAAAGTACACTTGACTAGTAAATGCAGTAAGTGTCCAAACTAATTAGCTTTATATTGAATAAGTATACAAATTGTAAGTGTATGAGTAAATCAAATTATCCATACAGATAATACTCTCTTAACAAACATTTGAATTAAAGATGGCTTCAGAAAGAGTGCCTTAGGGCCTGTAAAGCACTTCTCACTGTTGCAAAATATTGTGCGCGCACACCCCTCGCAGTCATGTGATGACAACCTCAATGCTTACCAATCCACTCGCATTTATGATGGGTTGCCAAGCGCCCCATGATAATGTGATCACCATCTGCAATCTTCTCTGCCAGCTTCCCCAGAAACTCAATGGCAAGGAAGGTTGCACACAGAGGGAAGGGGAAACCCTTCTGGGATTGCAGGAACTGAGCTAAAATCGTGAAGATGTCATCTCCGTTCCTGTAGCTCATTGAAGGATTTCCCCACCATGCACACATTGAAATCCTTTGGTGGGCTGCAGAAATGTTTGAGAGCGCAAGGGCTACTTGTTGCTGGGAGGATTTCACCTCCACATGGAGCTGAAACCCTTTGGCAGGCAGCTCTTTTGCACCATCCATTTAATGACCCAGGAAACTGCTTAATGACCAAAACTGGGGAGTGCCAGGGTTGCAGTAATTGAACAAAGCAGTCACGTGGATGTTTCGCTTAACAATCATTTTGCTCAATGACCGAGATTCTAGCCCTGATTGTGGTTGTTAAGCAAGGACTACTTGTAATGCAGTTTAAGTTCTTAAAACAGGAAAGCAAATTTAGTTTAATAAAAGGTGGCAGAAATGAATATTGGATATATTTCAATTTTTCCCAAAGTCCTATTTTTTTTTCTTAGGGGAAAAAGAAAAAAGAAACCGAACAAAATTTGGTTGTTTTTACCTTCAAATTTTCTGGAAAATTTATGTCTTTAAACAAAGCTCAAGTTCCCATCCTTCACCTCCCATACTAATATTTACCTCTTCTCTGATTCTGACGTGAGGAAGACCTTTTGCTCCACACGCTCATGTGGCTTGCCAGCTGAGCCAATATAAACCACAGCTGGCCGGCGCAAGTAACTGCGTGCCAGACGTTCCACGGCAGGTGGCATGGTTGCTGTGAACATCACAGTCTATCATGGAAGCAGACACAGAGAGAAAGAAATAATATGCACACAGA